GGCTGCTCGCGCTGCTGCTGCTGCTGCTGCTACCGCAGCAGCAGCACGAAAGCCGCCGCTGCGCTGAGGTGTATAGACACCTGGAAGGGAACTTTCCAAGTTGAACATGCGGGGAGTAGGCTAAATCAAAAACAAAATTATTTTTTATCTATTTCAGATTATTTCTTTATTTCTTTCTTTATTCATTTGTCTTCTCGCGGCTTCTGCAGCTTCGCCGACACACAGCGAGCACTCGAAAACTCAAACCTTAAACCCTAGTCCACACGTCCTAAACCCTAAACCCTAAATTCAAACCCCTAAACCCTAATTCCAAACTCCTAAACCCGAAATCCATCTAAAAACTATCTGCCTCTTTGTTTGCACCCCCAAGGCCCCAAAAAACAGGGGCCCCATCGGGCAGCAGCAGCTGCTGCTGCTGCTGTTGCTGCTGAACTGCTGCTGCTGCTCGTCGACGCCTGAGCCAAAGCGCATTGCGGCAGCAGCAGCAGCAGATGGTCCTGCTGCAGCAGCAGCCGCTGCAGCAGCAGCAGAAGGTCCTGCTGCAGCAGCAGCCGCTGCAGCGGCAAACTGTGTCTTCAAATCTGCATGGGAGTGACCACGACAGCGCCTTTCCCTGTGCAGCAGAAACCACATCCCCAAACCCTAAACCCTAAACCCTATACCCTAAACCCTCGGGGCGCGAAGTCCCTCATCAAGGGTTTCTGCTGAACTGCTGGCGTGAGGGCGCTACGGCTAGGGTTTAGGGTTTAGGGTTTGCTTGTGCGGAGGCGTGCCTCCAGCGCCTGAAGCGCGGCTAGGGTTTAGGGTTTAGGGTTTAGGGTTTACTGAGTCTCTTGTTGACTCTGCGCACGATGTCCTTGTAGCGCGAGGGGACCTGCTTGGGGGTTAGCAGCCCTTTTAGTAAATCCCCTTTTGAGGGTTTAGCTTTTTTCTGAGGGTTTAGAGAAACCCTAGCGGTCCCCTTGGCGATTCCGGAGCCCCCCAGTTTTGCTGCTGCTGCTGCTGCTGCTGTCTTCTTCTTAATGGCCTTCAGCGTGCGCACCCCCTTAAACAGCCCCGTGCTGCTGCTGCTGCTGCTGCTGCTGCTGCTGCTGCTGCTGGGGCCATCTGTTTCCATGTCCTCGTCCAGGCTCGGTCGACTGGTTGCTATCGACCTCTGCAAACAAAACCCCAAAAAAGGGTTTAGGGTTTAGTACCTAGAAAGCTCCATGGAGCCTTGGAGGACCTAGGGGCCCCAAAACAGGGGCCCCAGGGGCCCCCGGGGGGCCCCTGGGGGCCCCCACTTTGGCTGCGAGTGCAGTATTGGGGGCCCCCTAAGATTTATAAATCTGGGGGCAACCGAGGGGGCCCCCAGGGGGCCCCCTGGAGGCCCGCAGGGGGCCCCCTGGGGGCCCTAGGGTCCTTACCATTTTGGTATGAATTGTCTCCTTTGCCTTTTCAGGGGCCCTCGGGGGGCCCCCCTGGGGGGCCCCCTGG